TTGTTGTTGCTCTTCTCACAATAGCTAATAGATGGAAGCAACCTAGGTGTCCCTCAGTTGATGACTGGATAATGAAAATGTGGTTCATTTATACGATGGAGTTTTACTCAGCAGTAAAGAAAGATGAAATCATGAAATTGCAGGTAAATGGATGGAACTAGAAACTGTTATACTAAGTGAAGTAACACCGGCTCAGAAAAAAATTGACATATGTTCTCATGCATATGTGAATCCTAGAACCAAATCCTGATAAGAAAGTATGTATCCACACATAACTACAGGAACCAGGATAATGGAAAGGAAACAGGGAGATAAAGGAAAAGAAAGAACGTGAAAGGGAAGAACAGTAGAAAACAGGCCTTAATAAGGGAGATATGGATAAAATTAGGGTTAGTTTAATGAAGGGGGGAGGGAAGGGTGTACAAGGAAACTAGGGGATTAAGGAAAAGAAGGAGCTCAAGAGAGGTAGGCCATAGGAGAAGGGTGTTATTAAAGGAGAAAGGGGGAAAATGGGGGCACCTTAATTGGGGAAACCATGATGGAGGGGTGAGACAACGTGAGAGATACATAATGCCTAGCTAGTTTTAAAAACCAGAGAGAGCCATATTACTCTAACAATCTACTGACAAATTATACATAGCAGATCAAGAAATATATGTCTAGGTAAGGTTTATTGGAGAACAAGTGGTCTTTGCCCAAGCTTTATCTACATGACACATGTTAATTATAAGTACCAGACTGGTGAAACTAACCTTCTTGGATGTCTAACAGTCATACTTTGAGGCCTATATTAATCTGGTCAGAGGGACTTAAAAGACAATTTTTGCTCCTTGCCCCCAAGGTCAACTAAGTTCCAGGGGATATGAGCATCTCAAAATGTCCTGTAACTGTGGTAAATCACCTGTCCTTTTGATCAAGGAGGCCATGGAGACCCCACAAAATGGTCTTGAACCAGCGTCCAGCCTACAAAGAGGAGGGTCAATACAGAGGAAACATTTCCTCCATGCTTCCTGCCATCCATAGTTGAGCAGGACCTTTGACTTATCTTCACATGGATGGAACTGGTAAAAGAAAGGAGCCAGGGGCTCCTCCCAAGCCTATGTGACCCCTGAGGAACAGATCCTGAAATGACTTAAAGAATAAAAATAAATTGGTTTATCTGGGCCAACTCTATGATCTTATACACCCAAAAGGAAAGTATAACCAAAGATTAATCGGATCAATATAATTCTTTAAGAGACCATGTGTATAGCTAAAGGCTACATAACAAAAAACAATGCCAGACAGGAAATACCTTCCTTTGAGTTGTTGGCCAGGGTGGCCAAAGTGACCCCCCAGACAGTAACCCAGCACAGAACTGGGAAAATGAACAGCAGAAAAGGGACCTCCCAGATAGTAACCCAGTCTAGAACTGGGAAAATGGACAACAGACCCCAATCTTACCTAAAGGAATATTGACAACTAATTGCTGCTAGATGAGGAACAGCTGACCTTCATAAAACAAAGACCTCTAGATAGGCTGACTAGATTCACCAGAAGGGCAAGTAGTGGGGAATGGCTGGGGGTCCTGACAACACAGCAGACAGTAGCAGGGATATCAATGTATAAGGGTTCCAGTGGGGGGAGGGAGGCTATGGGAGGGTGCCATCTGGGAAGTGGGTGTGTAGTTGAATAAGATTGTTTGGGATGTTCTGTGTTTTATATATACACACACACAAAAAAAAACTCAAGAAATTTTAAAAAATGTATTATATTTGAGGAGGAAGCTGAGGAGGAAGCATGGAAATTTACATCATGTTAATTAGTAGAGGTGATAAACTTTGCCACTGAAATCTACCCAATGACTTTATAGACATACACAGGCACCAAGGATCCAAGTACAACTGATTATGACTAGTAATAATCAGATACATACAGATTAGAGATGCATGTGCCAGCATCTCAGTGTTAGTAGCAAAAACAATGAGTCTTTCTGCAAGTATCAATATATTCTAAAATGAAATGGAGCTCTTTTTTAAAGGTTAAAAACTCTTTCAATTTTATGTTTTACAGGGCTTACACTGAGTTCAGTATTGTATAACTGTATTAATTCAACTGTGAATCTAGAAATTTGCAGCCACTTGTGAAAGAGACGTACTCTTGCTCTGAAGTGCATTACTGTATATGTTAAAGCTGTAGTGAAATGCTTCTTCTAATCATGTAGTTATTAAAAATTAAAAAGTAGTGATTAAAAAAATAATTGATTCTTCAAAGCATTAAAAAAAAAAAAAAAAACCCAAAAACCTATGCTGGGATTCTCAGAGCCCTGTTGGAAACAGATGTATAACATGCTAGAAATTGCAAGTGAATCCAGCACTATTTTGGAAACTAGTCCCAGGATTTACAGATTAGAATTGCATGTGCAAACATCTTAATGTCAATTAAATTAAAAATTAATTTTTCTGTGTGAAACTGTGTATGTTAAAAATGAAATGGAGATCTTTTTTAAAGGTTAAAACCTCATTTAATTTTATATCTTATTGGGTTTATACTGAGTACAGTATTGTATGACTGTAATAATTCAACTGTAAACCTAAAAATTTACAGCCAATTTTGAAAGAGATGTATCTTAGCTCTGGAAATTGTTATTGAATATGTCAATGCTGTTGTAATGAAATTCTTCTTCTAAGTATGTGGTTATTAAATAATTTAAAAAAGATACATTTTAATGAATTTTCCTTAATTTTGATATTATCGTGTTTAAAAACATTCGTTGGCTTGTAAATGTCCCATTAAGTTATGAAATAGAGGTGATAGCATATTCGAAGATGGTAATGTTGATTCAAGGTTACTATTACTTACAAAATCCCAAGGCTAGAATTATTATATTAACTCTATAAATCTCTCATATACATTTGTTTTTCTAATTTCATTTTTCCCCTGAAAGTTGAGGATCTGGATCTGCTGCTGTGAGTGGAGATTTGCCATCCCTATTTTAGGGATGAAACTGAGTTTAAGTGATTCGTCTACAGTCAGTTAAGTGCTAAATGGTGAGGTTAGGAAATAGCTAGCTTCTTACATGCCTGATCTTATTATCTCAAGTCTTTTACTCTTTCATCACACATCATTAGAATGTATATCTGAGTTCCTTGTTATTATGTTCACAAATTAAGAGGGCAGGGTTATTCCTCATAATGATGAGTTTCTGGTTTTTTTTTTTAGGTGTTCTTTCAACTTAAAAATAAAGATTTTGTCTAATCTAAAAGATTGTTCATAGACTATTTATATTAGGATTCTCTAGAGGAACAGAACCAACAGAATATATATTACAAGGGGGTTTATTAGGTTGGCATATGCAATCTGGTCAGACTAGTCCAACAACAGCTGTCTGTATACCAGAGAGGCCGAGAACCCAGTAGTTGCTTAGTCCATAAGGCTAGATGTCCCAGTAGCCCCACCCTGGTGTTGAAGACCTGGAGGATTCCTGGAGGGCTATCAGTCCTCAGTGCATGTTGGAATTCTGAAGATGCTGGGTGCTGATATCAGAAAGGAATGTAGAAGCAGTAGCAACAGCTGCGGCAGCAACAGGGTAGATGAACTTGCAAGCGAAATGAGAAGACAATGAGGCAAAAGGCAAAAAAGCATTCTCTCAGATCACCCTTATCTGGGTTGCCACTGGAAGGTACACCTATGTTTAGGGTGGATCTTCCTACTTCAAATAAACTGATTAAGAAAATCCTTCAGGGGTGTGCCCAACATCTTGCCTATCAGTTGACCCTAGATCCATTCAAGGCAACAACAAAGATTAACCATCACACCATTCATTTAAAATTTTTTTCCCCAGAGGGTAAGTTTTGTACAGATTTTTAAGACTGGCACTGCAAAGTATATGCAGGTCAGAATGAACAGGAGGGTGGGAGGGTAGCAGGGAAATTCATACATGTTGCAGACATTATGTAAGCAAATGTGCTGACTTCCAGGAGAGGTGTGAGGGACTTAGACATCCATACTGCCATCCTGAGAACCAAAGTAGGAACAACAGTAACCTCCTCTCCTACCATTGTCATCCCTGCGTGGTCTGTGCTGAGTTAGATGAGGAGAGAGGGAAAAAACCCAGCATTTGTGTAATTTGGAAAAACAGAAGCAAAGGTTTTCAACATGAACCAAAGTATAACAGGGATCTGTAGCAGGGATAACTCTGCTGTTGTGAGTTCAGAGAGATGAGAATCTCAATGCTCTGCAGCTTGGAAGAAAGAATAGAGCCATAGCAAAGGACTGTTGTGCTGGGGGAGCTGTCCACACATCATTTCCTATCTCGATTCCCACAATAGATTTTCTTCTGTCTGGAACAGGGGTGAAGAAAGGCTTGTGTTTAGTTGGTACTTTGGAGATTAGCACAATAGTGTCCTTGCTTGCCATTGTTGTTTGGAGTACTCCACTGGAGTTAGTGATAGCGGGCCAAGGAAATTCTAGATGAGAAGCTGGGAATATCTTGTTTCAGTTTTAAACCATGGTAGAAAGATGATTAAGTTAAAGACTTGCTATAAAAAATCTCATAGGAAGAATGTGTCATCTTTTGTATATTAAAACCATATATGTACTGCATTACTTAAGTCATAGTAATTAACACTATGTCTGAGCAACCAATATTCAGGTGTTCTCCATACAGTAGGGGTTTTGCTTTATTGAATGAGCGACACACTGATTGGATTTGTTACTCTTTTTGTTGCACCTGATTCTTGGGGTGACCTTTGAAGTTGCCCATTTTAGCTGATGGTTAGTGTTAAGAGCCTTCTTCTTTAGCAGTCTAGGCATGCAATCATTCCCACACATTGTATAGTACTGTGAAACTGCAGAGATGCTGTTGAAGACAAGGATTGTTCTCTTTTTAATGTTTATAATCCATAGGAGGATTGTTTTACCTCTCTACTTTTTCTTGACCTTTATTCTTTAAGAAACTGCTATAAACTCATGATATGATTTTTTTTCTCCCCCTTCACATGCTGCTGTGGACTCAATAGAAAGACACCCAATTACAAATGCTATTGACGGCAAGAACACCTGGTGGCAGAGTCCCAGTATCAAGAATGGCATCGAATATCATTATGTGACGATTACATTGGATTTACAGCAGGTAGTGTACCTCTTTTTTTTTTATCATTTTCCATTTTTGAAATTGCACCTTGCATTTGCTATTTGTTTAGTTAGTAATTTTTCAGATGAAGAGATCCAGTTCTTCTCATTATTATTTTCTTGAAATGAGCAAAAGGTTCTATTCATTTCTATAGCCATTTATCAATGCTTGGCAGCCCTTATTTCTAAAGGGCAACTGAAATGGATTCATATGGTTGGTTTAGAAATGAATTAAGAGCTAATTCTGTTTTAACTAGTTTGGAGTAATGAGGAAAATATGAATCAATAAATTTTACATATGAGGAAAATACAACAGTACCATTTTAAATTTTTAAAATAATATTTTGCTACCATTCTGATGATGGTGTGTGAACTTAAAAGGCTCCTGGATAACAAGGCTCTTGGGAAAATTGTCTCTCATTACTGAGAGTTGAGCAAACTGTGACAAGTTGATTCTCAAACTTCGGCCACTAAACAAAGTAATAAGCCTTATATCTTGGTAAAATTTATGTTGGAAGTCTTTGAAATTTGTGTTGCATAAGCCTTGGTTCCATCTATTCTTAATTTTCTTCTACTTATAATATTCAAGGCAGGCTGAGGACACTAATCCAGAATCATCATCACCCTCAAATTTATTCAGGCTCACAAATGGATTTATGATGGAGTCTGAAAAGATGTTCCCATATTTTGTTGTCTCAAATACAAAAGATAATTTCATTGGCTGGAGGTTGAAACAAGAAATCTTAAACAGATAGATTTATATTTAGTCTGTTTTTCTTTCACTCTTTTCCATTGTCATAGAAAGATCATTTAACTGCTCCTTTCTGCACTAGTGTGCACATAGGATAGTAAGAGAATTTGGAGCTGCTACAAGGGGTGGTGTGGATGGTTAATGCAAAAGACTACACAATGCTTTTCATGGAGTGCTATGGCGTGAGAGGAAGAATCAGCCAGGAGGACAGATTGATGACGGATTCAGGAATACAGATTCCTTCTCTCAGGTCTTGGCCTTTTTGGCAAGGGCTGTACACATTCCTGAGCTACAAATGGCTTCTTGCAGCATGAGCAAGCTGGCAGGTCTCAGAGGAGACTCTCCTTTCATCCCATCTGGAGTTCCTCAGCACCTGGGCAACTGGGTGGCAGCAGAACTTCAATGCTTGATCTGAATCATCAACTGGTCTTGATTTATTTCTATCAATTTCAGTGCACATCAGAAGAGGATCAGTCCCGTGTTAGGAATAGTTCCCAAGAAATCTCAGTGCAGCACTGGGATGACTAGGCAAACTACCATCCTGATAGTGGAATCATGCTTTAGATCAGTTAATCTGTGAACAAAGTCCCAGAGAATCTTAGCTTCAAAATGAACTTTCTCTTCTGGATAAAGACAGCTTTGTCCTTTATTGATTCCAGTAGCTCTCCCCTTCAAGTGATCATTGAAAGTCGGCCTTCCCAATCAAGACTGAGTCTGCAGTCCATTGACTCAGGCCATCGCCTGGGACAGGGAATCAATAAATACTGAAGGTTTATTGCTCTCATTTACTCTCCACTTATTCTTTTAGATTGCACACAGAGCAAGAGAGTCAATTATTAATATCACTCATACAAATCACTTAAACTACCCTTTGATCTTGACAATAATATCATTTATCTATTTTCAATGGAGAAGCAATTTTCCTTTGATTTATAGATATATGCTACTATCACAAGTTTTAACTAAATCTTTTATGTTCAATTTGCCTATCATTACATTAGAAAGATAGAATTCACCTAAAAGTCATTTTTTTCCTCGTGAAGGTAGTTATATGTTGCTAAATTAGTCTTGCATCTTCATTCATTGATTCCCATATAGTATCTTCAGAGCTAGGTGGATTTTCTGTTTTTACTTCCAAACAAGTAGTATAATTACCCTTAAGATGAGTTAATATTCTGAGGTGCCTTCTATAGTTCTATCATCATAACAAGCAGCAAAATTCTGTTCATCGTAAAGGTTGAATCAGCTCCAAAGTCTGAATTCACCAATTGGAATTATTATAGAGTCCATATACTCAAATGGTCTTATAGGATGGTGCTCACCCATTTCTGTATTTACTTCTGCCTTTTCCTACTTCCTGAAAAGTAGCCTACTATCTGTGCTTAAAAGAAGATAGGCCTATATAATCTAGAATATAGAGTAAGTAGTCATTTCTACTTGATTCAAAGTTTTAATTTTGTCAATTATTTAATGATATGAAAAGTTAAGCACATTTTATAATTAGTTTTTTTCTTTTAAAATATCCTATTTTTTATGTGTATATGCATGTATGTGTGTGTGTTTGTGCATTTGAGTGCAGGTTCCCACAGAGGACAGAGGAGGGCATCAAATCTTCTGAAGCTGGACTTACAGATGATTGTGTGCTGCCCATTGTGGGTCCTGGGACCACAGTTGGGTTCTCTGCAAGAGCAGAAGGTGCTCTTAACCACTGAGCCATCTCTGCAGCTCCATTTAATCAGATTTTATGAAATAATTCCTCAGACAAGAAAGGGTTGCAAGTTACTCATTTGGTTGCAGACTGTGGAATAACAAACTATGGGAAATATTCATGGTGCTCATTCAGCGACAGAGCAAGGCTGTAGAAAAGCATCTTTAATGCAGTGGTAATCGAGAAAATGTGGATGTCCTTTATTATATCACCTCTTTCTCACAATTATTCCACAAAACAGCTAGTATTATTATTTGCATTTAATAGCTTCTGGAGGGTTAAATTGGAGACATTTAGTTATTTTCCTCAATCATTAGTTTTATATCTTCTTAGGAAACCTGTACTATTGAGTAACTATAGCTTTGTGTGGAGAAGAACTTTAATCCTGGTCACAACTAAGAGCTTCTATTTAATAGGTGAAGAGTGACGAAACTTAGAAAAGTGACTTGCCCTTCTTTAAGAAACTTATCCTAGCAGTGCTGGGTTTGAGCCTGATAGTCTGCATGCATAGTTATAGCTATGCCCATATTTCCTAACAGAATTTTGAAGGGCTTAGCACAAAGAGCTCATGAGAATTTTTCTGATATATTTCCCAAACAAAGCACGGGTCCAAGGAATAACCACATATTTTTCTTCTGACTGTTATAGGCAGAATATTACTATTATCTGTGCTGTTGTAAGACAACTAGTTATATATCTCATTTTCTAGTATACATAATTATGCCTCTAACATGATATAACTTGTCTTTGCACATACATCATGAAGGATTATCAGGTTATTCAGCATCATATGAACTATTCTGAATGGGGAGTAGGAGACAGTGGTGTTGTAATGAATAGGCAAATATCACCCAAGGTCTGCTTGTCATTGATTCAGCAAGAGGCTTGATCATTTATTATTTCTTTGAATTCTGAGGCATGTGAATCTTGGCAAGCACTAGTGATTTTGTTGATGTATTTTTGACTCCTCTGTGAAATATTTTAATAAATTATTATTTTAAATATGAACATAAATCATTAGATTATACTTGATCAATTCAAGTTTAATTTACTAAGGAAGTTCTTCAATATTTTAACATTCAAGATCAACACTAGAAAAAGAAAACAATTTATTCAGAAAAAGTGGCTCCTTATTTTATAAACAGATTGTTTTCAGACATTTATTAGTAAGGGATTGCTAACATTTCCCAGTTCTGTTTACTCACAGCTGATCTTGAGCAAATTATTTAATCATGCTTTGCTTTACCATTGAGATTAGCAGAATAAATATTACAACATTGTGGCAAGAAATATGGAATAATGATTATAGCAATATAACAACTAAATTCCATCTGGCAATCATGGGTATTATTGAGACGTAGAATCAGCATCCGCTTGAATAGAAACTGAACTGTTCTGGTGATGTGTATGCAAAATCCCAATATAACAACAAACAAAAAATACAAAGCAAGTTAGAAGATGAAAATGAGGACTCAGAGATTAACTGGAAGCCCAAAACTTTCTATTTTAGTCATTTTCAGGACGTCATGTGACTATGTCATGATGTCTGATTTCATTTTGTTTTTGCTTGTAAGCCAGTAACTTTTTCATTTCTGCCTTGAATTTTTTCAGGAAGAAAGCTGATTGGTAGATGGTTAAAACATAGAGAAGCAAATTTTAGTAGGCATTAAAAATAATTTTAGCAGTTTTTGTTAGCATGTATGAAGGGACTCCTTCCTAAACAGTTGAGGAATTCTGTGGAGTTAGTTATCTTCATGTTCAGGCATTGCTGCAGCTTAATCATGCAATCACTGAAGATGCATTTATCAAATCAGATTGTCTCACAGCTGTGGAGATCATATGACACATGGGCTTGACCTAAATATTTTGTTCACTGACATTGTAGAGACATATTTAATAAGACAGCTTAGCAATTTTAAATATGAGCTATATTTTTGAAAGGGGTGAAATTAGTATTTCTAGGTACATATCACTTTACTTTGAGGAGCTATGGGAGTAACATAAGAGACATTGTCCTTTTTATTGAATTTTTGTGTAATTCATACAAAGCATCTTAGTCATCTTTATATCCCCCCATCTGATATACCCTCCCATAGTCTCCCACTGGATTTCATGCATTCTGTCATTTATGTTAAGGTCTATTGAGTTAAGTTAGTGTACCTGGATGTCTCTTGGTGCAAGTTCATCCACTGGGATCTAGTCAGCCTATCTAGAGTCACTCCCTTAAAGAAGATCAGGTTCCCCTCACCCAGCAGTAATCAGCTGCCAATAGTTCTTTCACTAAGATTGAAGCCTACTTCCCATTTCCCCAGTTCTATGCTAGGCTTTGACTGTTTGAATTTGCATAGGTCTTGTGCATGCTGATACACCATTGCTGTAGATTCATATGAGAAAGATTCCAGGAGCCAAGACTTTGTTTCCACATGGTCATGCACCACCTCCCCTGGCTCTTTCCACCCCCACTTCCACAATGGTTCCTGAACCCTGGGTGGGTAGAGTTTAATTTAGGAGTCCTGTCCTTGAAGTACATTGAAGTACTTTG